ATATTATCCATGCAAGTCTCTTTTGAAATGCAAATTGTCAATCTTATCACTTTATTATGTAGTATATGTTTTATATTTGAATAATATTATTAAGTGTTTTTTAAAAGTCTTCTTTAATTTATTATTAATAATAAGTGGTTTAAAATTAACGAAAAATAATTTTACATGATAATAACATCAAATTATAAATTACATAACGTTAGCTACAACTAATTTGTATTTTAAATGAATATCATTAATCAAATTAGAAAATAATCATATAAGTAAATATTTTAATTAATCAATCATAACAACTATTAAAAATAATACTAAATAGATAATTATATTTAATTCTAATAATGAGGAAGGTGGGTTGATGACAATGAATATTATTGTTCAAAATAGTTGAGATTATATATATATATATATATATATATATATATATATATATATATATATATATATATATATATATATATATAAAAGTGTAAAATATTATGTCAAAGTTAATGTCAATAACATAACCATTATAAACATATATTTTCAAATATTCTAAAAATATACTTTTAACATGAGTTGCGCGCTATGTAGGAATTCGTCTAGTATACTTATAAAGGAAGCATTTCCTTTCACCACATTCATTTGAAACTCCCATGATTTTTTCCTTTCACGATATTTATTTAAAATTCCCATGACTTTTCAGTTTCTATCTAATAATAATTATAAGTTGGTTAATAAGGTTAAATAAATATCAAACCTAAAGTATAATCATATATAAACCAAATTTACATATTAAAATAATATCTTCACTTCTACTTATAAAGTTATATTTTTTAACTTTTAACATAATATACTTAATTTATTAGTTTTAATATATTATTGGATGTAAATCATTATCATTTTAAAAATACAATTTTAAAACAATTTGCATAAAATACTTAAATTATTAATCTAAATATAACATTACAATGTCAACTTAAATATAAAATTTAGTTTAACTTAAACAACCTAAAAAATATTTTGTAAATAACTAAAAGTGATAAATTGTAGTGTCTTTCTAATAATGATTATAAGTTGGTTAATAATGTTAAATAAATATCAAACATAAAGTCTAATCATAAATAAACTAAATTTCAATTTTAAAACAATATCTTTACTTTTACTTATAAAGTTATGTCTTTAAATTTTAACATATTATATTTAATTTATTAGATTTAAAATGTTATTGTATGTAAACCATTATCAGTTTAAAACTATAATTTTTGAACAATTTGAAAAAAATACTTAAATTTTAATTTTAATATAACATTATAGTGTAAACTTAAATATAAGTTTCAGTTTCACTTAAAAAACCAAATAATATATTGTAAATAGCTAAAATTGATAAATTTTAGTGATAAATGCAAAAACTAAATTATAATTTCATTTTAATTAAGATATTTCCTAAATATATTTTTATAATCGTTAAAAATTTTCAAATAAGTAGCTTAAAATAACTTACAATAACAATAATTAAAAATAACTCTATATAAATGATTATATTGTTACATTTAAATCAAAAAATAATATTTGATGTTTTAAATAATTATAATGATAGAAATTAAACATTAAGCAAATAATTTTTAAAAATTTAATTAAGAACAACAACTATAAATAAGATTAAACAATATATTATATTTAATTTAATTCATGTGTAACTCAAGGGTATATGTATATATTATCATACAATTCAAAATAATCAATATATTATATCAATTTAGTATATGAGTTATTATATCAAATTTAATAACGTTATTGTTATATTAAAAAAATACATATTTGTCAAGATTTTAACTATATAGGTGTTTCTGCACAACGCATGATTATTCGTCTAGTATACTTATAAAAGAGATATTTTTACTTGCACCACATGCATTTGAAACCTTTATAAATTTTTGATTTCTTTCTAATAATTATTATAAATTGATTAATAATGTTAAATTAATGAAAAAACTAAATCTTAATAAATCAACTAAACTACAATAACAAAATATCATATTTTACTTTTATTCATAAAATTATAACTTTAACTTTTTTATATATTATAGTTAACTTATTAGTTTAGATATGATGTCTTATTTGAGCAATTGTCATTTTAAAGTCACAATTTTTATATAATTTATGGTTTTATGCAAACTAGTTAAATTATTAATTTCAATATAATGTTAAACGGTTAACTTAAATCAAATTTTCAGTTAAACTTGAAAAAAATCGAAAGACTATTTTATATATAGTTAAAAGTTATAAATTATAGTGTTAAACCTAAACTGTAATCCTAAATTAATAAAAAAAAATCATGAAACTTTTTTTTATAATCATTAAGAATTTCAAATAAATAGTTTAAAAATAACTTATAATACAAATAGTTAAAAGTAATATAATATACAAAGTTATAATATCTTTAAAAGCAAAAACATATTTGTTGTTTTAAATAATTACAGTTAGAAAAAACTAACAATATTCATTAAATAAATTTTAGAAAAATTAAAATTTTAAAACCAAATTAAAATAATTAAAAGTTTCCAAATATGTTATTTTAAATAACTTACAACAACAATAGTTAAAAGTAACATTACATACAAAAAATATATTATTACATTTAGAAATAAAAAACAATGTTTGATGTTTTAAATAACTACAATAATAGATTTTAAAATTTTTAAGTACATAAACTTTTTAAAATTAATTAATCATAACAACAACTATAAATATCATTAAATTATATATTATATTTATTTATTCACAGTTAACCTGCAGCTAGATACTATTGAGACAATTGAGATTATAGAATTTCAAAAGATGTCTAAATTGTCATATAATTCAAAAAAAAAAAAATTATACCAACTTATTATAAGATTTATTATATAAGAGCTAACAACAACGTCTTCCTATATTTTAAAAAAACATATATTTGTAAAGATTTCAAATATATTGTTGTATTATACGCAATGCGTGAATATTCGTCTAATATACTTATAAATGATGCATTTTTACTTGCACCACATTCATTTGAAACTCCATAACTTTTCAATTTTTTTCTAATAATTATTATAAATTGGTTAATAATGTTAAATTAATGCAAAAACTAAATTCTAATTATAAATTAACTAAACTACAATATTAAAATATTATATTTTACCTCTATTTATAAAATTACGACATTAACCTTTTAAAATATTATAGTTAACTTATTAGTTTAGATATAACTGTATGTGAGCAATTGTCATTTTAAAGTCACAACTTTTGTATAGTTTAACTTTTGTATAATTTATGATTTTATGCAAAAAAGTTGTAACATCCCCCCTGTGGGACGTATCACAATATTGTTCGCTTTAGGCTACTGACACGAAAACTTCACAGGGGTCACCCAACCCTAAATTGCTCTCGTCCGGGCATGCTTACCTGCAGAGTTCTTATGGAATCTGCTGCTCTCACGACTTTAAAACGCGTTGTGACAAGGAAGGTTTCCACACCCCTTTAAGGAATGTTTCATTCTCCTTCTCAACCGATGTGGGATAAGGTACAACCCACATTCACCCCCCATTATATTCTAACAACCCATATTTCAACCCGAAATCTTCAATTAATACTTTAAGTGTTTGTCAAATCACAGCCACAATTATTAAAACATTTATCAGAGTATCATTAAAATTATCATGTGCACAAATTGATGCGATGCAATCGAGTTGCCGCCTTCGTGAATATAAGAAAACTTGCAACATGTAAACCGTAAATCATAAACACAAAACTTAGTGAGTTTCCCAAACTACGACATACAACACAACACAACACTAATAAATAGTTATAGGTTATCAACAACTATGGAGACTATTAGCAGTCCCAGTAGGCTAACAGCACGCCCGGTTGGTTATCAACAACACTATAACATTATAACTAATGCATATTTATGCATAACATTATGATTTGAATGTAAAATAGAAAAAATATAAATAAAAAAATAAAAAATAAAACCTTGTATTTAAATAAAAATGTGGTTTTAAACGAAAAAAAAAATATTTATACGGTTTAAAATGTAATAAAAAAAATATATTTATACAATTTCAAATTGAAAATGATCAACATTGATCAAAACTGGAAAAAATGATGTTCGGTTTGGAACAAAAAAAGAGTGTCGAAATTGAAAAAAAATTAAACTTAATATCAAAATCGAAAAAATTGAAAACTTAGTGTATTTTGTGTAAAAACAATTCAATTTTGACAAGTTAACATGCCATCAAAATTGATACGCCATCATACTATATCAGCAGATAACCAGGTTGACCTGTGGAGTTGTTAGAATTGTAAAAAATTGAAAAACATAATCTTAAATTTGAAAAGAAAAACATTAACAAATTAGTTAATAAGAATATTCGATTAAATAAAAAGTACATGGATCTCAATTATTACGATTTCTAAACATTTATGTAAAGAGTTGCTCTATAAACCTGGTTTTATCTTCGATTATTTCGTGATTAGTTTTTATAATTATTATTTTTTTCCTCCTGGAGTTGTTGCTACCGGAGGAGGGGCCCTACTTCCACTTCCGCAAGGAAATACCTTCGTCTCTACGTCCGCTTTTTCTTCCTTCTTTCATCATTGCCTTTTTTACAAATTTAAGCCTACAAGTAACCTACCGATCACTAGTTTCTGTAGGGTATTTGGTTCATTTTATATACTGCTTCAGATTAACTTTCAGAGATTGCGTTAGTGTTAATTGGGAATCTTTATCGGTAAGTAACCATCGACATTCTCCGGTTTGATTCTGTTTCAACTATAATTCTGATAATTTTCCTTCGATCGTTTTTTCCATTGTAAAGTTTGAAAACGATTCGGGACGAGATTTTTGATTAATCGACCGACAACTCAACAGAGCAACTCAATCATTCACTTTCCTCTGTTAATCAGCTTTAACCCTCTCACGTCCTGGTTTTGGGTTCATCAAGTTAGGGTAGGCGTCAAGTCTTTTTAATTTGCCCTTTCGTATGGATATTCCTGTTAAGAAATTTTTCCATAGCTTACTAGAGGTTTGATGATGATCGGATGTTGTCACCTCAAATATAAAACTCCCCTTGACGATCTGTGTGTAATAATTTATTGATTCTTGCTATTCTAATTAAGAATTCTTGTGAATGCGCCTTTACCTGGAACTTCCATAATTTGTAACTAGATAATGTTCATGTTGCAGTATGTTAATTTGTGAAGAGCTACTTTGTGATATCAATTTGTTCATGTACAAGAAGTGTTGGAGAATATGATGATGCATTAGTCTCATCAACTAATCAAGCTGTGTCTATGGCAAAGAGTGAAGGTGCTGTTTTGTGCTATATTTTACTGAACACATATTTGTTGGTTGAATACATTTTTTCTTAAATGGAAGAACATGGCATTTTTCCTTTAAGATTTTCTGCTTGTTTTAATTTTTTCTTTTTAAGTCCTGGATTTGACAATTATATAATTATATATATCTCAGGTGATCATCATGTTGATGCTCCCCCAAACTACAGGTATTCAATAACCGACCCTAAACCTAATTTTACCTCATTTATCTTATGAACCAAGAATAAAGTAAGATGAAACATGTGGCTATTGGTATGTCCTTATATATAATTCTTTGGGCTAAATGCAAGAAATAGCAATGTACTTTTGGAAAATTTCTTATAATAGCATTTCTTACTTTCATTTGTTCTTATTACTACAATTCACTTTTGTAACTGTCTCCCTTAGGTCACTTGAGAAAGAAGGAAGGAATAACCTTGTGGAAATCAATAACATCAAAGGAGATTTAGAACATGAAAAAACTTCTGGTATACAAAGAGGAGTTTTTTTTTTTTTTTTGGGTGATTTAATTCTTAGTACATTTCAATAACATAATTTTAAGATATTAAAGTTAGTCTTGCACTATTTGAAGTCTGATTGTTGTGTGAAAACAGAGGTCAATGAAACAGAGGCATGGTATCCTTGTATCAATGATTCCAATATTTGGCTTCCTCCTGAACCAGATGATCAAGAGGATGATGTTGAGGGTAGTTATGGTAAATATGACGATGATGATGATGATGAAGAGTTTAGTGATGACATAAAATGGGGAAAAACAAGTAGTCTAACTAGCTTTGGTCAAGAAGGGAGCGGGAGTGGGAGCTTTAGTTTTAAAGAGGAAAAAAGAAAAGTAATGGATAAGGTTATGAGTGGAAAATTCAAGACTCTTGTGAAACATATTCTAAAATCATTGAATATTTCTTGCTTAAAAGACAATGGTGGTGATAATTGGGTTGATATAGTTACCTCTTTATCATGGGAAGCTGCTTCTTTTTTGAAAGGGGAAGCCATGGATCCTGATGGTTATGTGAAAGTCAAATGTATTGCTACTGGCTTTCGAAGTCAAAGGTTGACTTCTGTCACCGTATTAATTCATTCCCTTTTAACTTTTTATGTTTCTTGATGCTAATAATTTTGTTTTTGTAGTGAAGTATTCAATGGTTTGGTGTTCAAAAAGCATGCTGCTCACAAACACATGCCAACAAGATTCAAAAGACCAAAACTACTACTGATCAAGGGTACACTAAGTGATTCTGATGGATTTTCATCATTTGAGTCGATGAACCATGAAAAGAACAGACTTGATTCTGTTATTGGGATGATAGAGAAATGCAATCCAAATGTTATTTTAGTGGAAAAAACCGTTTCACGTGATATTCAAGAGTATATTCTTTCAAAAGGGATGACACTGGTTTTGGAAATGAAAATGAACCGGTTAGAGAGAATTGCTCGTTGTACAGGTTCATCAATCTTGTCATATGATCAATTGAGTGATGAAAAATTGAGACAATGTGATTCTTTTTATTTTGAAAAAATTATTGAAGAACATGGTGCTCTTTGTGAAAGTGGAAAGAAGCCAAGCATGACTTTAATGTTTCTTGAGGGATTGCCTAAACGTATGGGCTGCACGGTAATTTTCATCAGCTTCTTTATATTATATTGATATATTCTCATAGTAATGATCTTAAAAATCGAGTTCACTACAAAAATGGTCACTGTGTGCTTTTATTTTTCCCATGTTTGGTCCAAAATTGAAACCTTTTTCAGTTTTGGTTCTTATTTCAAAGCTCTGTGTTAATTTTGGCCCCTGGAACCTTGAAATATTGACTAAAATTGAAAAATGTTTTCATTTTGGTCTGAACACGGTAAAAATCAGAAAGCACAAGGACCATATTCGTAATTTAAAATTTTTAAAGGAGTAAATTGCATTTTTGGTCCCCGAGTATAACTGATTTTGCAATTCCGGTCCCCAAATGTTTTCTCTTGCAATTTTTGTCATGATTTGAGGTTCTTGTAACGTTTTTTGGTCCAGTTTTCCCAATTTGTCCCTGAGTATAGCTGATTTTTGCAATTTTGGTCCCACAAATAGTCATTTTACTAGGAATAGAGACCAAAAAGGTTACAAAAAGCTCAAATAAGGACCAAAATTGCGAGAGAAAACTTTTTGGTACCAAAATTAAAATAGTCAGGTATACTCACTCAGGGACCAAAATAGTAACTTTCTCAATTAAAAGTTTTTAGATTTTTCTGATGCTTTGGGGATTGACTCGCAGATTTTGCTGAAGGGATCTCACAGTGATGAACTTAAAAAAATCAAAACTGTTGTTCAGTTTGCAGTTGGTCTGGCATACCATTTGATCCTTGAGAATTCGTTTCTTCTAAATCAGAGAATAATGTTTTCCACCATTTCCCCTGATATATTTTCTACCAAAATCCCCACCGAAGAGATCATTCCATCAATCAGCAATCATGCTCTTGATTTAGGATTTGATGATTCAAATATTCCAGTTTCCAAGGAGGATTCTAATGAAGAAATCGAGATTATCCCCATCTTTAAGGAACCATACAACCCGGTTTTCCTCTCAGGATTATCATCTCTCACAGCTTCATTAAAGAAAGTAATTGCAATTCGTTTATTACATACTGCTCGTAGTATATCTACATACTTTGGATTTAATTGTATGAGCCCTCATCATCAAGAATTACGCTCTTCTGAGGCTGTTGAGACTACTGCCAATATGGGCGAAAAGGTCATTTCTGATGAAGAGAAGACAGTTAATGGTGATGGAGTGAGTAATGATGATTATTTGGAGACAAACAGTATAGAAGAAGAGATGGAAAGTAAGGATGATATGAACACAGTGTTGGAATCTGAAAGTATTTTGGTTTTGATGTCAAAGCGGAATGTAGCAAAAGGGATCATCTGTGAACAGGATCGTTTTTCTTGTATCAAGTTCTACCGATATTTTGATGTTCCTGTTGGAAAGTTTTTGCGGGATTACTTACTCAATCAGGTTTCTTCAAAATTCCATTTATTTCAGCTTGTTTTTGTTTCTTTAGAAGACTGCTTTTGTATAGGGCTGAATGAGCTTGTTTTTGGTTCTTTATGCAACATTATTTTCATCAGAAGGCTAAAACGGTCATTTACTCTCATTCAGCCGGTTCAGCTTAAACTATTTTGTGTGATTTTTTTTTCTTAACTATACAGAAACTTATGTGTACAACTTGTGGTGAAGAACCAGAAGCTCATTCTTACTACTATGCACATCACGATATGCAACTCACAATTCAAATCAGACGTCTTCCTGCAGACAAACATTTAGATGGTGAAAACAAAGGGAAGCTTTGGATGTGGAGTTTCTGTGGGAAATGTAAACCCTCTGATGGAAGCTTAAAATGTACAAAAAGAGTGTTAGTTTCAACAGCTGCTCGCAGTTTGTCATTTGGCAAGTTTTTGGAGCTTGGCTTTTCAAACCACTCTTCATGTGATATAACATCTAGCTGTGGACATCTCTTTTACAAGGACTACATCCACTTCTTCGGGTATGCTGACCTATAAAAAACCTATATGCTATACCAATTTTTGTAAATTGATAACTTTAATAGCTGTGTAAATTATTGTGTTATTTGCAGATTAGGTTCCATGGTTGCAATGTTTAGATACTCTTCGGTATCTACTTACTCTGTGTCTCTACCACATTGGAAGGTGGAGTTCAGTGATTCAGTTGGGGAAGAATTTCTGAAAAAAGAAGTTGAAGATGTAGGTATTTACGTAGTGACTTAGGAATTAAAATGATTGTGGCATTTGTATCTGCTTACAGATTTGTGTTATTCAGGTGTATTGGGAAGGGCTTTCAGTGTTTGCTGAGGTTGAAAGCTCTTTGAAAAAGATGGAATTTGAGTTCGTGGGATCAATGTTGAAGCTTCAAGGATCATTGAAGAAGTTCTGTTATGTTGAAGAGATGCTGAACCAAGAACGTGATCGATTCCAGGTTAATCACTTATTGATCAAATCAAATATGCCAATATGCAAATTCAATTTTAACTGAAATTGACAAATTGTAGGTTGAGATGAAGAACACAGCTAACGATGGTGGTTTTAGGAATAACTGGGTGTACAAGCCTCTGTGCTTAAATCATCTACAATGGGAACTTCTTCTTGAATCATGTATCTGGGACCACCGTCTTCATTCACTTTTATCATCTCATCTTAAAGTAGCCGACACCGAAACCATCGATAACACCTTACCATTAAAAGAGGTCTCCATTCAAGGAGATTCAGAAATCAATACGAATGGTGACTTTTCTTCCTCGATGTCTGCAAAATTATCCGATCCAAACGGATGGATGTGGACCCCGTTTCAGAAAATCCAAAACTATTACACGAACGATCTTCAAAGAGGTTACTTACCGGAATTCGAACCAATCAATAGGTACACCACCGGATCAAAAATATATAAAAAAATCACCGAAGAGGGATCGAAGCTTCATTTTCCGGTGGGTCCCGGGAACAATTACATGGTATCGGATTATGAAGAGGAGTTATCAAGTATAATCGCGTGTGCTTTGACTTTTCTCAAAGATCAAAATATCTCACCTGAAGGTCAAGGTGTCACCGATCGGAATATAGAATCACATTTTTTCAGCTTCGATGGACTCGAATTGTTGGATTCGGTGGATTCTTTAAGGCATCTTCATCCGGTGGTGTCGATGGGCCGGTTAACCAACAAGGTTAAATACTCGGTGGGTTGTTTATATGCGAATGAATTTATGGATCTTAGAAGTCGGTGTGGTTTATCAGAACTGGATTTTATTGCTGCCTTAAGTCGGTGTAAACATTGGGATGCGAAAGGTGGAAAAAGTAAATCTTTTTTTGCTAAAACTCTTGATGGCCGGTTTATTATAAAGGAGATTAAAAAGACAGAGTTTTATTCTTTCTTGGAATTTGCTTCCAGTTATTTTGGGTACATGAAGGAGTGTTTTATGGTTGGGAATCAGACCTCTCTCGCAAAAATTCTGGGGATTTATCAGGTTTGTGGTTGATTGATTTGTTTGTTATATTTATATAGTGTTGTACTTTTCTTATTAATATAAATTGCAGGTAAAGAAGAGAAAGAGTGGTGTGAAACATGATCTAATGGTGATGGAGAACATTACTTATTGTCGAAATATGATGAGACAATATGATCTGAAAGGAGCTCTGTATGCCCGTTTCAATTCTGCTGTTGGTGTTGTGGGAGATGTGCTTTTGGACCAAAATTTTGTGAATGATATGAATGTTTCTCCTTTATATGTTAACAGAAAAGCAAAAAGAAACTTGCAAAGGGCCGTGTGGAATGACACTGTGTTCCTCAATGTGAGTTTACTTTTATCAGTTTGAGTCTTAGTCCAATGCATGTCAAACACGATATAAGTATGGGTAAGATAAATAATGATTTATATTTGTGAAATGCAGTCGATCAATGTGATGGATTATTCGTTGTTGGTTGGAGTGGATGCGGAAAAGAAGGAGCTTGTATGTGGCATCATAGATTATGTGAGACAGTATACATGGGACAAACAAGTGGAGAATTGGGTAAAGTCATTTGTGGTTCCTAAAAACCAGATGCCAACAGTAATATCTCCAAAAGAGTATAAAAAGAGGTTTAGAAAGTTCATAGACACCCATTTTTTGAGTGTGCCTGATGATTGGTGCTCTCAACGCCCATCTAACCCTTGCACTCTTTGTGCCACAGACGCAACTTCTCCTCATGCTTGTTCACATTCAACACAACCCTGACCTTATGTTTGAAACTCATCTAGCAGGCTGCTGTTTACCTGATTTAAACCTCTCTTCATCAATTTTTGGATTATATATATATATATATCGTACATATATATAATAATTGCGCTCCCTACCTATATTTTGCAATTTTGAGCAAATTTTTGGGGTTTAGTGATAATTTGACTGATGTAGTTAGCATATTAGGTGCATTTGTTACATAGTTATTACTTCTATTTGGGTTTTATATGCTTTAAAGGTTTCTGTGATTGTTTGCAATGAATGAGAGAAATTTATGGTTGACCATTTCCTACCTTGTTCGCAGGCCTTTCATCTTGTTTCTCATGGTTATTTTGTTATTATTATTATTATTATTTTTTTTTTTGACAATTACAATTTTGGTTATTTCTTTATTGTTTGTCAGATTTATTTATTTTGTTGACGATAACAAATCGGGTTATTTCTCTATTGTTTGTAAGCTGCTTAGCCATGGTGTATCAATGATTTTATACAAGATGATCAGATATTATTACGAACTTTTTTACATTTGCTGATTGCTTGAATTGATTTTGCCAACGTTGAAATCAATTATGGTGGAGGTTGCAATTTTGGTTCAAATAGGCTGATTTGGGTGATACTTATGAAATTAAAGGTCATATAGAGAAAAACTATACATGAGTGAAAATGAGTGAGAAGTTATGCAAAATGACTTACACTTGTATGATATGCTCTGTGGTTATATTTAGACTGTTTGATATCATAATTATAAGATTCTGATTCGTCTCTAACCTCTAATGTCTCTAATGTGCATTTTGTTGGGCTTGATAAAATGTTGGGTTTAGCTCAATTAAATTTGAATCTATCAACAACTATCAAACAACCATTTACATCAAAATGATAACTTTTGGTTCAATGTAGGTTGAGAACAATGGGGAGGTCTGTAAGGATGTCCTTGAATGATTGGAATTCTAAACTTTCATTTGCCAAGTGAGTTTACGCTATAAACAACCACCAAGTTATGCTACTATGCATATACTCTTGAGGTAAGTAAAATTGTTTGGGGTAAAACATTCCAAATGAGTTCTACACATGTTCTCTCAAGTGCTTCAACGCTTTACTATGGCGTGAGGTTTATTATTATTATTATTATTATTATTATTATTATTATTATTATTTGATTAATCAATTATTCTAACAACAAAACTAACCGCATTAATACAAAATATTATTCCAAATAAAACCTTAACATAAATGATTTCAGTTCAATAATATTAAAATTTAACTATTGAAAATCATACAAAATTTGTTTGTTTTTCTCTTCATATATATATATATATATATATATATATATATATATATATATATATATATATATATATATATATATATATATATATATATATATATATATATATATACTATCTTATAAAAGAAATCTAACTATTTCTAAAAATAGATTGATTATAATAATAATATTTTTTTAAGACGTCCAAATAATGAAGCTGATAGTACAAGTAAACATTAATAAAATAATATTAAATCTTAACCACATTTTGAATTCAAATATTTATCATCAAATCTCCTTATATTTCTCAACAATTTGATATTGTTCCCTCAAATCCCGGATTCATTCAAATTTTGAACCCTTTTAGATATCCTTAAATTTAGCATGTTGATTCAAATATCCCTCCAATCGCATATACCTCTTTGTTCCCTCATCTACTATAAAGCCCACCGTCTAGGAACAAAAAATGACTTCATCTCCCAAATAACACCATAGTTTGATTATTTTGTTTTCGACATGTACTTTCTTTTGTAACATAACATTTTTGTAGAGGAAACATATCACCGAAAGAATTTACACACCCCGCCGTTTTGCGCGGGTACGCTGCTAGTATATATATATATATATATATATATATATATATATATATATATATATATATATAGCTATTCTAATGTTTTTCTTTCTCAATTTACTAACCGTTATTTGAATATAGTTATGATGTATTCCCTAGAATCACGCTTTTTTTGTGGTTACAAACTACATCCAAATGGAACTCCAAATTAAGATTTCTAGATAGAACCTTATACGTCTTGTTTGGGTCAACATCCATATTATTTTATTTATTATAGAAAACTACCATTGGTCAAAGGGAATTAGCTTTCCTCATACGGCCAATTTCAAATTCCATGACTTTAGAAAGGGATTTCACTTTCAGCCTATTAAAATTATACTTGGGAAAAAACCAAAATACCATCTAAAAACCTAACTTCTCAAGATTATACTTTGTAATGAACTCTAAATCAAATCAAATTAAAATTATATTTATTACTAAACGTTGTAAACAATTTTTATTTTTATCTTAGTATTAAACTATATAATTTTGGTTTCTTATTTTTATTATCAATCTTTGTAATATATGGTTTAGAAAATACTTTGTAATTTCCAAGTAACGTGTGGATAAATTAATGTTTACTAATAATGCAACAAGTCCATAGAACAACATTCGGACATTGTATGAGGTCCTTCTGTGATGTGTGAAGATATATCTCTCTGAACAATCACTAAATGAAAGATTGGGTAACTATAATCCATGATGGGCAGGAGATTGCATGCTGACGCCCAAATTAAATTATGAAGACTTGAGAGAGTGTATCAACTAAAATCTTTCATGAAGATGATATTTATATAGTACTTTAGGGGCAAAAACTAAAATAGTTTATTGGTCTTCGATGTTTGTTGGTGCAATGTTCTTTTAATAAGTTGTTTGATCTAAAATTTGTACCAAACGATGTTAATTGTGTCACTGCTCAACTCCTTTATCTTCTTAATATGACATGTAGTTATGGCGTCTACTAAATACCAAACTTCATATTAGTGCTACAATCTTCTCACTAATCTTTTCATTACTTTACACACTTTCATTTTATTAAAGGTGAAGATGAGATTTGAATAGTGGTGACAATTCTCGACCCAACTTGTAACTTGATATGAAAATAAACGAGTCTGGGTTGAGATTTCTGACCCGCCAACTCGTTTATTTCATGGGTCAGGTTGGGTTTTGTGTTTGGGTTCATAGGTCAACTTGCCTCTCTCTCTCTCTCTCTCTCTCTCTCTCTCTCTCTCTCTCTCTCTCTCTATATATATATATATATATATATATATATATATATATATATATATATATATATATATTGAAACGACAAACTAACTAATTTAATCCTAAATAACCACCTATATCTCCACTGAGACAATCCCTGACCTCTCATATGAGATAGTCACTCCATACCGCTAGGTTATTGGCCCTTTGATATATATATATATATATATATATATATATATATATATATATATATATATATATATATATTAAAAAATTAATATTTATTTATGAATTATGATTTACAAGTTTGGCATCCCCTACTCAATCTTTGACTCATTGTTACTCAAAAAGACAACATACTACTACTCCTCACCGTTACATAGCTATCTCATTGCCGCTCACCCACCGGTATCACATCTTATCAATATCGTACACCATCAACCCAACAATGTACACCTATGCTCCACCCAGCCCACCACTGCTCATTGCTCTATCCCTTAACCACTATCGTCGGTGAAACCTATCTCCGATTGGTTGAGTTAAGTTGATGTTTTTCACTTGTAAACTCGTGATTGCCAACCTAAATACATATATGGGTAGTGTTAACGTATCTTGCAACCCATAACCAACAAACCCAAACCCGTTCCATTTATCACATTTAAATTTGAGTGTAAAAATATAATAAAAAAATATATTTTGTTGTATTTAAAATAATAATAATAATAAACTTTACAATTGCACGGACGGACAGAAGGCCCCACAAACGCCTTCAAGTCAAACAAACCTCACAGTCAGCTGAACAAACTACACCAATCTTGATTCACATTTCACAATCGGCGAAGTAAATCACAGATGTTTGATTGATTTATCCTTCACGCTTTCCTTGGATTCCAATCCAATCAACATGGCGGATACTTTCTCAGATTCAATTGATGCATCGGCCCACGCCTTCAACCTCATCCTCCAGGGCTTCACATTGATACCAATAATCCATTATGAAATAGCTTTTGTGTGTTTCCTCATAATTTTCATCTACAATTTCTTAGAGTTCCATTTCTTTCATGATGTTCTCACTCTGTTCCGAGGGTCTCCGGTGTCCCTAACATACAATTCGGCTTCTGAGATTTACCACGGTGTGGCTTCGAAGTGTCGCCTTCTTCATGGCAGGTTCAGTTTTTTTCTCTCATTTTATTCATGTTTCCCCCTATTTCTAGTGAACTGAGATTCCAAGAAATTTCGTATCCGTTTTTTGAATAAAAGAACAATTACGTGCTGTGTTTTGTGCATGTTTTGTTTTTCACAAGGAAAAAATGTCAATCTGTAAGCGGCAATGCAATTAGTGTGTAAGAAGATAACTGGCGGGTATAAAGCTGTAAATTAAGTAACAAATGGGAACAACAGCACACGATTGATTATATTTACTGATTAGGTTCTGCAAAGAGTAACATAAATTCCAATTCATTCCTTCAATCCTTCTAATAACACATCTAAATGCTCGTGTCTTTGAAGTAAAAAATCGGATGATTATCACATAGTACATACAAATAAAACGTAAACTTCAGAGTAATTTTTTATATTGCAGAATAATTTCTAGGAATACAGTAGGTCCTTACGGCCATAATCTTCAATGTTCAAAATTATGCCTAAATAACTAAAGTTAACTGCCTAAGATAGTAAGCCATTTACAGAATCCTTGATGTCACACTATATATATTAAAAACGATATAAAATAAAAACAAAAATAAAATTCTGAAATACAAAGTAATATTTGTTCCTCATGAAATTCGTATGTCATGAGAAGTTTGATCATGACTTAGGTGTCTTTGGGATCCTAAAACTACTCATTTAAAACGTTCTCTGTGAGAATGTGAGGTAGATGTGATGGAGTTAGTTTGTCCTTATTTGTTCACATATATAGTCACATTTAATATAAACACTTTATGTTGTGGTGCTATGGTTAAAAAGGGTAAATCACAATGTCCTAAGAGTAAAGAAGGTGATTAACCTGAGAACTCACTTATGGATTTTCACTTGTGGTGCTATGGGTTTCAAAAAAATTAAGCATCTTGTTGTATTAAGTGAAAAGATTTACTCGTTTAACAATTCTTAACCTTATATAAGTGAGGGACTTATGCTGTTTTGTGCTGATTGCTTCATTAATAAGGTACATGGCTACACCTTGGCTTTCAAGCCCTCACATTCAAACAACTTTTCTGAATTTCCATGGAAGACCTCCTGCAGTAAGTTATAGAAGGTATGTCTTCTTGGTCACGTTTTGCCAGAT